CTAAATCGCCTATAATAATTACAGAGACCCAAAAATGCCCGTAATTGTCTCACATTTTGTGGAGTAGGAAATGCTCTTATGGCTTTAATCTTATCCTCATCTGGGTGTATTCCAGCAGGTGTCAAAACATGCCCGAGGAATTGCACGGATTTTTGAAAAAAATGGGTTTTCTCTAAATTTACTGTCATATTGGCGTCCTCCAGTCTACTTAAAACAGCGGGAATGTGATTTAAGTGGTCTTCCAACGTACGCGATGTTATTAACAGGTCGTCGATGTAGTTCGTGGTAAATTCACGAACTTCTGGTCCTAATATTAATTCCTTAGCCAAGTTCTTTACCACTAAAGCTACCACCTTACAGTTTAAATGTTTGTCTATCTTAATATCTAAAAATACCTGGAGGCTTACTCGATGACTTCGTTGTCCCATGGCGCCAAGTAGTTGAGTCGCAGCGACAGGTAGAGTTGGAGCCTGTAATCCTGCGCTAATTAACGAGGTCCATAAGTCCTCGGAAACACAGGTTACCTCACTACCCGCATCCACTAACGCTACACATTGCTTGCTCCCTATTTCCACTATTATTTCGGGCACTACCCGCACTTCACTGTCTTCAACCACCGTTTTTTTATGGTTTGTACTTCTGGCTTGTCTAAATTTTGTCTTTTTACTGGGATAGTACAATGTACTAACGGTGTTTGCATTCCTTGTCGTCTTTTTCCTAAACCGGAACCAGGCTTCCAACCTTGTGCAGTCACGAGTTTCCACCCGGTACTATAAAGTTTGTTTAGGTTTTTAATCGGTTCTGACACTGCGATGGTCGCAATGTATTTTTGACCTCTAACTAACGGGATACGTCGACTTAGGTCCGGTTCGGCGCTCCCGATGCGTTTCCCGACTCTTTGTGGGGCGGTTTATTTTGTTGTCCTAAATTTTTTTGTTGCGGCTGACCTTTTGACCAACGATACGGATTTGGCCGTGCGGTGTCGATGTTAGTGCTTGTTTGCGGTCGGTTTGGTGCTTGGGCTTCCGGGCGGCGATCCCGAGATGTCTCACGACGACGCACCACAGCGCTCTTAAAACGGTCTCCTCGCTGTAGCCGACGGTCGTTCATTTCGATCGCTTTATTTTGGCCCCTATTTTGTACGGTGTCTTGATACTGCCGTAAAAACTCGCCGAACTATATAACTGTTTGCGATCCTTTCACCATCCACAAATTTTGTATGTCCTCGGGATAATGTTGCACTAAATTCGCGAGCAACTCGTCGGGAGGAATCGCAGGTGTTAGCAGAGACGCTATTTCGACCTGTTTAGCGAAGTGACCAAATAAACTGTCTCCCTTCGTCGGTTCATAGCGATCGTGGCTTATCTTATAACGCACTTCTCGCTGTTTCTTGGTATTCCAATAGGTACGTAGTAAAGCGGCTTTAAAGTCGTCATACGTTTTCCACGAACCTTTGTACAAGACCGACCACTGTTTTGCCTCACCCTTTAAACGAGCGAGCGCCAAATCCAACATCTGGTCCGGCTTCCGAAAACTAGCTTTCCCATACGCCTCCAACTTCTTTAAGAACCGTACAGGGTTGACGCTATCATCGCCCCAGAAGGTCGGTTTGTCAGGTAGTAGGTCAGTTTGCGTCATTACACCCCACAACAGCTGTTTCAAATCTACCTGTCCTGGGTCGCTAACGGCAGCTTGTTCGACAGAGGAACTGTCAGTTCTGTCGGTCGAAATCGTTGGCGAGGCAGGCGACTCGGCGTGCATGATAATCTCCTCGGACGGCGGCTGTACGACGCTTAGCGTCGCACCGGGGTTAACTTCACGTAGGCTGGTGACGGCGCTGAGGATGGCATCGTGGTTGCTCTGTTGTATTCGCATCAGCTGTTGTTGCATCCCATCTTCCCAGATGCGGAACCACGCTGGGATTGGTTCCTCGGGGTTTTCGATAACCACATTTTCTTCGGACATGGCTGTAAATTTTTTAAGCGCTCAGACCGTTGCAAGGAATATCATTATGGATCGGCTAATTAATTTTTGTTTTCATGTCAGTCACTTTTCCTTTTAATAACTTTATTATCCTGGTCACTAGGCACCAATTTCTGTAATGGAAAGGACCCGGTCTACGTTGTGTTTAATTAATTTACCCTTTAATACCTATATTTACCTTTAATTTGGCCAAGAATACGTCTAGCCCCGATTTGTCATAATAAAGTAGGAAGAGTGACAAACAATCAAAAAATATTTATAACCATATTATTTATTTATAGTAAAGAGAACAAAAACAACTGCGGAAACCAATATTTCGTTTTATACCCCTTTTTTAACAGTAAACTGCCACGGTCGTTGACCTGGCGCCCGAGTCGGTATTTAAGACGAAGGATTAGAAGAAGCTTACCGGCAGTCATAAAATCAAGTCACAGTTACCCTGCTTTACGGGGCTGATTATGGTAAAACCTTTTTTTTATTATAAAAGTCAAATCGATGAACGGGTGTAATTCGTTTCTCGATTTACCGTGGGCTTGGGCCTCTTTTATTGTTTATCTTGTTGGCGATCATTACGATCGAGTGTTGCCTATGTTTATATATATATATTTTTTTATTTTGAAGTAGGTATGTGTTTATTAGTACCTTTTCATCAGTCCATATATCAACACTAGTCTCTGCGGGGGTGCGTTAATATTTATGAAGTTTTCTTTTTTTTGGGAAGGATTGCCTTTGTTGGCTCTTTTATGTGGTTGCCTATAGCTTTTCGGTGGGAATCGTTTCAATGTTGGTTTTCGCATCGTTGGGTCTAGCCTTTTCCGCTGAGCCTACAGGATATCGGAAGGTACAGGATGTATTGTCAATTTAATATTATCGCACTCCCAGGTTGAACGCGATTAAACAGTATATTGACAGCCTTACAACAAGCGTTTAGTCCATGCAAGCAATTAATAATGTAAGGTGTCTATATACTTTTAAGAAAATGTTATATTGACTTCCGGTGCAGATCATACCGTCAATATATGCCTGATGTGGTATTTATTTGGTGACAAATGGAATAGTTTAACATCAGTAGTACTAGGGTGTTGTCACCTGATTTAACTGACTGTAGGCAGGTAGATATCCCGGATTCATTAATTTATTTATGAAATGGCTCTTACTCTCTTTACGTTGGAAAAACAATTACAATGATAACATGTCTTGGCCTACCTGTAGTTTCGGGTCTACTCGTTGATTACAATCCTCAAATGATTAATAATAAACTTAAATAAACTACTTGTTCACTGTTACTACACAACTACTAACAGGTGTCAGCACTCACGGCGATGGGCTTTGAAATTAAATGTCACTGCAATTAATTGATTGTCCAGCAGGTGGCAGCACATACACGCGGCGGGAAATTTAAACAAAGTTTAAGCGTTCGTACGATAGAGGGCGCGATGTCGCGGCGTCGGATTCAAATTACCAAGATGGCTACAACTGGCGTTACACACAAGTTTGAATTAGAGAACGGAGTTTTTGGAAAAACGTCCGCACGCAACTAGAACTGGAAACTCACTGCCCAAATCTGTTTACGCAGCTTTGGATCATCCCCCTCTCATATATCGTTCTTTGTCTTTCCCCAAAGTTGGAAAAAGTCAACCATATGTGTGACATGGCAAAATTAAGATAAAATAGTGTTTTAACATTTTTAAGTGGAAAAGACATTTGGGATAGATATTTTTGTCGTCTAGTATCCCAGTCAAATACCTAATAATTTTAAGTGTGCCCTTAGTCAACTTTTGTACTGGTTGATTGGTTTTTTCGGAAATATTGGTTTTTACAATAAAATATTTTAACAATTAGTATAGTACCGACTTCGGTACTACTAATAATACATACAAATTCCAGTTCAACTATTCGGTTTTTTGACCGATAATAAGATTAGGTACTGAAAACTTAAAACTAAATTACAACAATTGTATTGAACATAACAATGAAAACTATTACTAACTTAATACTAAACAAGTTCACATTATTTAACTAACTAACTATTTAAATAACACATTTTAATATTTACAATAACTTGGTTCATTGTTGTCTGACAAAAAGGCGTCCCGTAGAGCGATATACCTTCTTGCAAACATAATACGGGGTGTACTCGTAGTACAAAGTCATAGCATTGTCGTATACGTTACCGATTTTTATTTATATAATTTAATTTTGCATAGTATACCCTGACACCCCCTGAATATTGAACTTGGAAGGATCCCTTTTGAATTCCAAAAGATCTTAAGTGGTTGTTTATCAGTATTGACATCACCAGATGTCATATATCTGTAGCAAAACTTTCCTTAGTTGACTTATTTAAGCAAACGAAATTAAATATTATTTTAAAATTAAAAAATTGTATTACGGGTTTTATACCTGCAGGCGTTAGAGGAGTCCAACCAAAGTACTCGAGTAAAACTACAAGTACTTTGAAAAAAATGTACTTGAGTACAAAGTAAAAAGTACAACAAAATACAAAATTACTCACGAGTACAAGTACAAAGTACTTTTTCCAAAAACTCTTAAAATGTTATTTGTGTTTCAGTATCTAGCAAAAAAAGTTGTTAAACAAAACAAAATATCAGGTTTAGGTCACTTGAGCATATTTTAAAAAACTGCATTTTTATATTTTTTTCCAATTATTTCGATTTTAACACGTTGGCTGCCATGTGTACCCAATGTGGCGTTACGCTAAATTTTTAGCAATGGCCGCGGGGCGCCACGATGGGTCCTCATGCAATACTTTTAATTTTAGCCGCGTGTACCCACATATGGAACATGTTACTATGCTTTTTATATGGAACTAGTAAAATATGGCTAATAAAACCAGGAAATCTGTTTGGCTTGTGTATTGAGACATGTTTGTGGGTACACACGGCCATATAATACAAAGTTGAAAAAAGCCAAATGTATGAAACGTATATTTTTAGTGTTGGAACAAATAGCTTTACAAAAGTAAAAATAAGCTAGGGAAATAAAGCAAAACTAAACTAATAGACTAAAACAAAATAAAGTCACATCAAAAAACTCAAACGATTCTTTTAAAAAAAATTATTTTGTTCACTTATGCACCTCAAAGAAACAAGATATACAATAATTCTTGTTACATTGGACACATCTCAATTTGGTGCGTGTAGCTTTTGCTTGGGCTAGCAAAGGATCAGTTTATATTTTAAGTTTTTCATAGCATCCAGGTGATCTCTACCAATGTCCTGAAGAAAATGCTGTTGCTCAGGTTCCTCCTTCTCGGCATAAGGGATTTGATCTTCCAAACAAACCAGATTTGATATCAAGATTTCCTTGAATCGTGTGACACTTATCTTGTTGTTAGTTACCTCTTGGTGTAAAATATAGGCATTTACCATGGCAGTGCCAGTCAAAAGCTCCACAGCCAGCTTTATATACCACTTGACTCCTCGCCTTAGACAAGTGTGATACGCTTGATCGGACAGATCAATATATGCCTTATGGTTGTTGTAGTCGAGAACTGAAGGCGGTTTTTCTTTTTCTTTGGAGCCGTACTTAACTTTTACTAACTCTGAAGTGTGCTTTGTGCTCAAAGTAAGGACATCCCTTTTATCCTTCCACTTCTGAACTACTATGCCTGAGTTACTTTCAGCAGCAACTGTCTCTCCTGTTTTCAATTTTTTTTCAGTAACTTCTTTGGGTTCCAACTAAATGAGTTTGTTTATCCAGCAGTGCATGTGCTAATGCTACACTCGTATAATAGTTGTCAGTGTAAATCGTACGACCTTCATTCAACAGATTTGCGGCCAAGATGAGTACAATATTTTGCGATGATAACTGATTATGGACCTTATCTTGACCGCAGTATACTGAAATATTGTAGTGTATCCCTTTTCTATGCACAGTTTATACAACTTGATACCGAATTTGTGGCGTTTATTTTTTATGTACTGTTTGAAGGTTAAGTGTCCTCTGAATGGCACAAGAGTCTCGTCAATACACACAGATTCTTTCGGTACAACTGCAGCTTAAAAATTTTCGATAAGCTTGTTTATAAAGGGCCCCACAGACATCGTTCTTTTTGCACGGTTTGGAACGAACAGGTAAAACTGTGCGGTTCAGAACGATGGAACGTTGTCGACACACACAGTGCATTTTTGTGTCAGTTTTGAACGTGAAATCATGCAAGAAGAACGACTTAATTTACTTGCAGTGGCGGCGGTTTTAGCTTACAAAAAAAATCGTTCGAAAAATCGATCGAAGTGGTCAAAGGACTGGCTTCTGCAAAGGAATACATTTTCCCATATAAATTTCCTAAACGAATTGAGATTGGAACCCACTGATTGGAATAACTACCTACGTATGGACGAGGACACATACTTTTTACTACTGAATCGGGTGACACCTCTAATTAAAAAGCAGGACACTCATATGAGAAAAGCTATATCACCTCACGAACGACTTACGGCGACTCTACGGTTTCTTGCAACTGGAAGAACCTATGAAGACCTGAAATTTTTAACGATTATATCACCCCAAGCATTAGGAGAAATTATACCAGATGCGTGTGAGGCTATCTACAGCGTTTTAAAAAATGAATATTTAAAGGTAAAATTTAAACACATTCCATTTTCAGTTTATCTTATATTTGCAAAGTGTTATATTAAATACAGATATTAGTAATGATGATCATAATCATATATAAAATTTGAATAAAAAGAACGTGCTGACGTTGAAGGCGAATCTGTAGTCGTTGGAGGTTGACTCGGAAGTTCAGGTGTAGGTTGTAGGTTCTGATGCGGAGATATTTTGTACAAATTGATTCTGGAATGTTTATCAACACCGCCAAATTGGGCTTCATATAAAATATCCAGCATCAATTTTTCCGTGACCATTGCTGTTTCTTTTGGCAATTGCCGTAATTTATTGGCAATATTCTTTCCAATTATGTCAAACTCATCATCATGTCTACGTGCCTCATCTAATTGTCGATCGACTTTTTTCAATATATCATCTGCATTAGGTTTCAGTCTTTTCTTGCTTTGAACAGATCCCCCAGAACGTGGTGTAGATCTGATAGTTGAACTGGAAGATGAAGGTCGGCTTAATGCAATTGCATCAATGAGTTGTTCATTTGATAATGGCGACCGAATTGATAATTCCTCGTCCTGCTGGGAGTATTCCTATAAAAAATTCAAATATAATTTTTTTTTCAGTTTCCAAAAACAGAAGACGAGTGGAATGCGATTGCCAACGATTTTTCAACTAGGTGGAATTTTCCAGGGGGTTTGGGTGCCGTTGATGGCAAACATGTACAAATAGTGCCTCCGCCAAATAGCGGTTCATATTTCTATAATTACAAGGGTACTCACAGTCTGGTTTTTATGGCCATCGCCAATGCAAACTATGAATTGATTATGGTAGATTTTGGTACTAACGGAAGAGTTTCTGACGGTGGGGTTATTGATAATACAGTATTCTATAAGAAGCTGAAGAATGGCACTCTTCATTTGCCAAAGCCGATTCAACGCATTGGTGCTGAAGAGCTACCTCATGTATTTATTGGAGATGAAGCATTTGCTCTGAGACCAGATTTTTTGAAACCATTTAATCAAAAGCAACTTACTAAAGAGAGAAGAGTATTTAACTACAGACTATCCCGAGCACGTCGTATAATTGAGAATGTATTCGGAATTTTGGCTTCTAGGTTTCGTATCTTTCACACAGCTATCAATTTGAAATTGGAAAATATCGAAAAAGTTGTATTGGCTTGCTGTGTAACGTTACTTTCTAGTGACGCACTTACCTATTGGTTTGTCTTATACAAAATACAATTTCGGGCGCCAGCTTCCTTTTTATTGTGGGGAAGCGCCACACCTGGATAGCTTTTATACAGTGGTATAAAATCAATTTATTCTTTTAAATGTAAACTACCTGTATACTAACATGACACAATTATCACACAAACGCAAACCAAGAAAGCCGAAAATGGTCGGCGGCGTGGAAATGCAAGCAATTATCAATAGTGAAATAGGGGTGAATGAAAGTGACAGCGTGCAAATGAGTACAATGTAGGCGGCAGATCACCGGCTACGCAACTAGCTACGATTCGTAGACGTTCACCGAACACGTATAGCGTCGGGGCAAAACTGCGGCAGCAGTTGAGTATTTAGAAGTCTACACTATTTAATACGATTAGTTTAAAGTAAGGCCAAGCCAAGCAAAGAGTAAATTCATTAACAAAAGCAATAGTTTTACTAGTACTTACAAATCGGTACGGCGGTGTTAATTTCGATGTGCACAGGTCACGGGCCAAACACAAGATCCCTTCCTCTTCCGTCACTCCTCCGCGTTCCACTTCCAGGCATCGAAACCGCGCGAGCGCGCACGCGTCTGCCCTGCCTAGTATATTCTGTACAGCGATAGCGCACCAAAATCATTTATAGTTAAATAGGTATTTACGGCTGCATAGACCCAATAAAGACGGCGCGGCTTTCTCTACTTTTTAACATTCTCCAAATCATCCGAAAACGTACAAAACTTGAATCGCAGTTCTACGACCCCAAATACTGATTTTACAAAAATAAAGTAACTTCGTTACAGCTGTGCACTGCACAATTTTCTTCGCAGACATGTCGCAAATAGTTACATTCCTGCAACATGCCTTGATGTGTAAGATGTTGAAACAGGAGACGTACAACTGGGTTTACAAGCAGCAGAAGACAATTTAATTGCTTTACGTAGAGGACCTAACAGACACGCATCAGCAGACGCAAAAAAAGTTCGTGATCTGTATATGACATACTTTTGCAATGAAGGAGCTGTAGTATGGCAAGAAAAATTTATTTAACGTTATCACTGTTGTAACCAGTTGTCTTCAAAATAAATGTAAATTTTATTGCAAAATAAACTAAATAAAAAAATTTTGTGGACAATGTTGAGTATGATTTCAGATTTTAACAATATAAAGCAATCATATTCCCTCCTAAATTGTATTAATTTTGCACTAACGACAGAAAAAACATTTGTCCAGTTCAGTACTTTTCATAATGCTTTTTCGATCTCCTAGTATTTTACAGTTGCTTATCTACCAAATCGGAATGCTGAACAGAGTCTCCATCGCTATTGGACCCAGTTTCATCTAAATTGGACACTGCTTCTCTAGGTTTCTCTTGATCATACAAAAAAAGCAGAAGGTTGTAGTACCACAGGCGGGGTTTACATATATCTTCAGATCCTGCACCAGATTTTGTCGATTGTTTCATTTTCTTCATTTCCTTTCGGAAACAGCCCCTCATGGAATCTATTTTTTTCTTCACAGTCTCTCTATTCGCATTTGCATCGATTTCCTGAAGCTTCGCGACCATTGCTTCGTAGGCTTTATCTTTTTTGGTTCTGTCGCTATACTCTTTACTTTTGACTTTCCAAAGGCACGGTAGACTGCGGTACAGTTCAATAAATTCGGTTAAGAAATCTTTATTCATATGCCGTATATCAGCCATGATTCACGAACATTGAGCACTAAGCCGCCACTGATAATTTCGTTCCTCCACCCACGAGATTTACCAGTTCGTGCAAAATCGCGCAGTTAAAAATCAAGCAACAACTGATTTTTTGGAACGCGGTTAAGTCGGACGGTTTTTCGCCACACACATCAATTTTTGCACGGTTTGACCTGTACAGTTTTACCTGTTCGTTCCAAAGCGTGCAAAAAGAACGATGTCTGTGGGGCCCTTAAGGGGTAATACTTTTTGCAAACGCTTAGTTGTAATAACTTCATTATCATGAAAGGGCCACATTTTCAAAAGTAGTTGAAATCGATTTCGCGACATTTTGGATTTAATTGTATTGTGGTAAATATCATTTTTGGTCCAATACGATTCTATGGATGGAAATGAGCAAAGTCCCATCCAAAATAAAATTCCAATGAAAGTTTTCATTTCAGTAATATCAGTGTCATGCCACTGATAAATCCTGGCCTTGGGAGCCGATTCTTTTGCCTTACATTGAGCTGCATAACGGTTGGTTTCGAGAACCATCATACTAAACAGATCGTCGGTCACAAAAAAATAAAAGAAATCCGCTGGATTCTTGTCAATATAACTTTCGTATATCTGTGCCTTGATGCCACTGTTGCCATTTCTAAAAGAAAACTGCTTCAAATGCGAGCCCGTCACGTCTGCTGGAATATCGTCTTCTTCACTACTATCTGCTGTGTAATCTCTTATAACTTGTTCTATGGTTTCCATTTCATCGTCCAATTGCATTTGCGAATGTGTGCTAGTGTTACCAGACGTACTGGCTAAGACTGTATTATCTAAATCTCCATTTTGTCTTTTAGAAAGTGCGTTAGATGTACAGAGCTTTTTTTTGAGGAAAAAATATCTCTGGTTCACTATCTGAGTCGTCACTTGATGAGCAATCATCGTGGCTAGGGATGAATTCATCAGAATCTGATGCGGAAAAAGGATCGTCTTCCTCATCTGATAAAACTTCCTACAAATATTGCTTATTATTATAAATTGAGTAAGTGTCCCTATATTATAATTTATAATATAAGTAAGTGTCCCACGCCCAACAAACAACTAACCTGTAATAATTCTTGTAATCGAGATTGCTCTTTCTCGTAACTTATAATTACAAAATAAACATAAGTGATATAACGCAACACGCACTAAACAGAACAGCCGTACGTGCAGAAAACTTGCAAAACACGTCGTAATTTCGAAACTTCTTTATACACGATATAACGCAACCCGCACTAAGTATACTTAGTGCGGCTCCAACATAGTCATTTTACTCGTAACAGCCGCGTGTACTATACCTGGAGCCTCAGTCAGCTAGCAAGACAAAGTCGCGTACGGCTAATATCTATAGATATCTATAGATATTAGCCGTACGCGACTTTGTCTTGCTAGCTGACTGAGGCTCCAGGTATAGTACACGCGGCTGTTACGAGTAAAATGACTATGTTGGAGCCGCGTGTACCCATATTGGAGCCCCACTAATAAAAACATGTGCCAACATGTTATTTGGTCAAAAAATAACAGATATCAATTAAAAAACACATTTTACTCCCCATAAAATAAAAACCTAATGGCTGGAGTGATCGGATTTTTTTTAACATTGTGGCAGCCAACCTGTTAAAGAGAAAAAAATATTAAAATAAATTAACTTTTCCATTACATATAACCTTTATTACCTATTCATGCAAGTAATTTATTATATATTTTATTTAATAAATAGCTTTAACTGTAAGCACGAAATTAAATTAAAGTAACATGCATTTATGCGTACCAAACAAAAACTTAATAGAGTAGGTAATCCAATAAAAAATAATATTTAAAATCTTACTTACCCCATGGGGTATAACAAAAACCAAAACACTTAAAATAATACTAATGCAGATTCTGTATTGGAGAATAATCTCAAATTTAAAAAAGACCGTTACATATGACATTTTGACGGCACTACCAGAGATAAAAAAGGGTACTACCTCTTGTAATATGTAATATATCTATAAAGCAGGGTTGAGATGCACATTATAGTATTTTCTTAATTTAATTATAGTATTTTTTTGAAAAATATTAGTACAGATGACGTATCGGTTTTTGATAAGTAAAAGCCCACATTTTTCCCCTTTTTTTACCAATTGGCTACTAGCAGTTAGAATTTTAATAAATGACAGCTTTTTTATTATATTATCTATTTTCACAAAACGTTTGTTTCGACAATAACTGATAAGTTTACAAACTTTGTATGCAATTGAAAATGTATTCTGTTTTATCATAAAATGTACACGCTGTATTTACACGTATAACCTATACAAATATTTTTTTATGATAAAAATAACAGTTAAAAGATAATAAATGCACGCGCCGCGCTAATGCGCTCCACGGTATTTTATGTGGCTAGTTTTGCTTTTGCATAAAAGAGGGCGCGAAAATAAAAATTTTGCAGTTTTCTTTTTCAAAAATTCTAGTTTAATTTTTTTCCTGCCTACCTTTGTGTAATAAAAAAAATTACTTGGCGCCCAATTAAGGTAAGTGTTATTTACAAGGAACGTAGAAACTGAACCTACAGGGTGTAGGTTCACTGAGCTTGACGGGAACTTTTTTTTGCTTGACCTAAAGTTGGTTTTATTGATTAGGAAAAGTCTCCAATAAATTATCTAAGAATTGCTTAAAAACAACCCCACTAATTAACACAATTCAATTGTCAACTATCAACTTTTATATATTACTTTTAATGTACTCTTACTAACCCCTTTGTGTTTATGGCCATAAAAACTCAGTTCACAGATAATAGAAATTAAATATTTGTATTTGTATGTTATTATTACTCCAATGATTACTATTATTATTTCTCTGTTTATTTGGTTTACTCTTTGATAATAATTGGATCTGACCTTGGAAGTCCTACGAACCAATGTGTCACAGTGTCCTCAAGCCAACCCACCGAGTTGTTGAAGGGTGAGTCGGAAAGCCTTAAACCAAGGGTATTGTAGAGCTGCTATGTTGGCAATGTGATTCTAGCCCAGTATGTCAAACCAACCCACCGGGTTGTTGAAGCAATGTGATTCCAGCCCAGTATGTCAAACCAACCCACCGGGTTCTTGAAGCAATGCGATTCCAGCCCAGTGTAGTATCCTCAGTTGTGTAAATCCTTACACGAATGTTGACGTTAAAATGAAAATTTTGTATGGGGAAAAGAAAATTTTATAGCCTAACTTTAGGTCAAAAAACCTTTGATTTAGGAAATTGATGTGTTGTTCGAGTGCGAGGAAGTCCTGGTGCATCTCCTCGGAAATTTCATCGCTGGAGGACGTGTCCAGCGTGTCTCCGCTCTCGTCAAAGTTGTTCTAGATACTCCAGTCTTTCTCTTCCTCGACCTCCTCATCAACCTCCTCTTCCTCGACCTTATCTTCCTCCCCCTCCTCGCCCGTACCCCCAACACCATTCTCCCCCGTCTCCCTACTCGCTTCTTCCTTACATCTTTTTGATGGGATTACATCCCCGTTCACAAGGGGCCTTTTGTTCATTGCTTTAAATGAAATTATTAACTTGTTAATTTTTGGTGGTTAAGTAGGTATATCAAAATAGGTAGTTATATTTTGCTTGCTTGATGGGATTTAATTTATGGTTTGTAACGTTGCTTTCTAATGACGCACTTACCTATTGGTTTGTCTAATACACAACAAGTCTCGGGCGCCAGCTCCTTTTTTATTGTGGTGAAGCGCCACACCTGGGTAGCTTTTATACAGTGGAGAAAGTAACCAGGGTTCAGTTATTAATGAAACTCTGGATTAAACTCAATACGTATATTAACAAAAGTATAAAATATTCTATTCAGAATAACTATAAACACCCTGTATGTACAACATAAAACAACTAATAAACACACGCAAACCAATGGTGCTAAGAAAGCGTGATGGCGAGCAGAGAGGGGAAAACGGCCAGGGGGATGGTGTAAATGCAATGAGCCGCAAACGACAATCGGCGATGAAAGGCAAGCAATTTATAGCAGCGAAATAGGTGTGAATAAAAGCGGCCGCGTGTAAATGATTAACAATGTGTGTGACAGAGCCACGGCTACGCAACCAGCTACGGTTCGTAGACGGCCACTGAACATGTGCAACGTTAGAAACAAAACTGCTTTAAAAGTCTAGTATTGGCAAATCTACACTAATGAATACGACTAGATTATAGCAAGACCAATAAAAAAAGCAAAGGTGAAATTCATGCCGAAATAATAACTTTATATGTACTTACAAATCGGTACGGCGGTTGTATCGGCAGTCTGCACCGGTCAAGGGCGAAACACAAGATGCTCTCTCTCTCCCCGTCTTCCACTTGCCGGCCTCGAAACAGCGCGAGGGCGCACGCGCCTCTGCCGTCTAGTATATCCCGTACGGCGACAGCGTATGAAATCATTCATAGTTAAATAGATATTTACGGTTTCCTAGACCCAATAAAGACGGCGCGGCTTTCACTACTATTTAATATTCTCTAAATTATCTGAAATAGCACAAAACTCGAATCGAAGTTCTACGACCCCAAATAATGATTTTACAGAAATTAAGTAACTTCGTTACATTCCCCTCTCACCTCGGGAAAAAAAAAGAAATTTATTTCCTTTTTTTTTTAAGCCCACGATAAACATAATGATTTAATAATTATCCCAAAATAAACTTAATAATAATTTCACGACGTGAAGTAACAAAAAAACAACGGCAAGGAGCAAAATAAATACTTCACCTACGGCTAGGCCTCAGCCGGATGCCGCAGGTCCCACAGAAATTGGGAAGCCCGGAGGTACCATGGAGCCGGGCAATCCGGGCTCCGCACTGTGCGCAGAATCCCCTTGCCTCGGGAGCAGCCGCGCAGCACTCCACGGACCGCACCCCAATCCGTACGCACCTGGAGCAGAACTCGATATGCCGATTTTGGGGCGGGCATCGGTCTCGACGGTGGCCGGGGTGTCCACACCTCCAGCATACGTCCTCCCCGGTTGGCAGGAACACATTCCGCCCCTCACAACGTAGGCCTGGGCAGGCTCGTACGAGGGCCACCGCCGCCGGTTCGGGGACCCGCCTTGGCTGCAGGGGACCCGCCCTCCGTGGGCTACATGCAGCTGGCCGCTGGGCTGGGGCTGCTGGTGCCCGCACTGGCCGTACTGGCGGCAGCC